TAATGCTGTAAGGAGCATTCAAAAACTCATTCTCTCTTCTTTTTGTCTTGTTTGAAGTATCTACGAGGAATATCTATCTTCGGGCGCCACTTATTTCGAATTTATGCTGTAAGTATCTTAAATTAAGATGATAATTGTTCATTTCTAATATTGATGACCTATGTCATTCTCTCCTTTTTGTTTTTCTTGATCAATCTTGGATAGTGTTGGCTAAGTCTTTCCATTGGCATGTTTATGTTGTAATAATTCTTGTAACTTGATGTTTTAACATTTTCAGGTTCCCTTGAGTTTGACAATAATTTGGATATATGCATCCTTTTTAACAGCTGGGGGAGCATATAATTACAAAGGATGCAATCCTAATATACCAAGTTCAAACATTCTGTTGGATGCATGTAGAAAACATGCATATACCATGCAGCATTGCAGGACTGATGTTTCCAATGCATTGGCTACTGCTGCATGGGTCAGAATTCCTTACCCTTTACAGTGGGGCATCCCTATTTTCCATTTTAGGACTTCCATAATCATGGTCATAGTGGCACTTGTTGCCTCTGTGGATTCAGTAAGTATCATATTGTCTAGGTTCTAATCTCATTTAACTATTAAGATGAATTTTCATGCTGAAAGCAGGGATCAAACATCAATAGGAGATGAACCTGCAATTGTAACTGTGAACGGCATATCCTTTTTCCAGGTTGGAACTTATCATGCTACATCTCTGCAAGTTAATTCAAGGCCTCCTACTCCCGGTGTTGTGAGCCGAGGAATTGCTCTTGAGGGTTTCTGTAGCATATTGGCTGGTCTTTGGGGTTCAGGTACTGGCTCAACAACCTTGACAGAAAACATGCACACAATTGACATCACCAAGGTGGCAAGTCGGAATGTAGTGGTGGTTGGAGCTGCTTTCTTGATCTTGTTCTCATTTATAGGTAAATAACTCCTGGCGCCAAATTCTTGTTCAACTTTATACATTCTCATTCCTTTCCATTCTGGCTGCGATGGACCTAAGGATGTGCAGTGGTTTCATTTTTGGTACATATTTTGAGTTTCAAAATACGACTTTTAATATAATTTTGTAGGGAAAGTGGGTGCTCTTCTCGCTTCCATTCCACAGGCCTTGGCTGCTTCTGTACTATGTTTCATGTGGGCTCTTACTGCAGCATTAGGCCTCTCTAATTTACGGTTTAGTCAATCAACCAGTTTCAGGAACATTACAATAGTTGGCGTTTCACTGTTCCTTGGAATGTCTATCCCTGCTTATTTTCAACAATACCAGGTTGAGTCAAGTTTGATACTGCCCAGTTATCTGGTTCCTTATGCGGCAGCATCAAGCGGACCATTCCGTTCAGGCATTAAACAGGTTAGAACCTTTAGCCTTAAATATAAAGAAAAAAGGAACAAACAAAAGGAGGACTGATTGAATAGCTTATAGATGAACATGTGAATCTTAAGTTTTACTTAATCACACACTTTCTAACACATCCTAGATGATTTATCTTTATTGAAACTGATATCATGCAGATTTGTCCTTAACGACAAATCTTCATTTTAGCTTGTTTTTCTTGCAAATGGAGCAATATCTTTTTTCCTTTTTGGATCATATGAGCTGACCTGTCATTTTGAATCTTGAAGCTTGATTTTGCAATCAATGCTCTTATGTCCTTGAACATGGTGGTTACACTGTTGGTGGCATTCCTACTAGACAACACTGTCCCTGGCAGACAAGAAGAGCGAGGGGTGTTTGTCTGGTCAAGAGCTGAAGACATTTCCACTGATCCCTCTTTGCTATCTGAATATTCGATGCCGAAGAAGGTCGTCCGGTGTTGCTGTTGTTTCAATTTTAAATGTTTGGGAGTCTAATGCTTGGTTCACTCTGACATTTTAATCTTGGTAATATTCCTTCAAGATAAAAGTCACTCCTGGATGTGTCTATTATTCTTTGTGGGACTGGAAAGATATTGCCGCTCGTCAAACGTAAATTATGCAGTGTAATATAGCTATAGTGACATTAGGTTGGGCACAGACTGATTGCTGTAGAAGATTTATTATGCTTGGGAGACTGCAATTTTTTACACGTTAAATTGTCTTGCTGAAAAACCAAATAGTGTACTTACGTATTGATATATTTATATGAATAAGTATTCCATTTTGCTTTCATGTTGAGTTAAAACTTTATAGTTGTAGCAAGTCTCTGACTGTGACAGTAAAAAATACTAGTAAGTGAAAAGGGAGGAAGTTTTAGGCTTGAACCTACCCATGACTGGCTAATTTAATTGGTAACTTTTCCTTTGGAGTTAATGGTCCACCGGTGGCAATGAGAACAAAAAATCAGCACTAGTCACAAATTAATAATCTGTACATATGATCTAATGAACTAAAAATAATCAGGTATTAGTGTGTAAGTTTAGGTGGTTTATTGGTCTGCCAATCCTCAATTAGGGAACGGAGAGTGTGATTCGGGGTGAGGAATGTGTGTTTCAGCCTCAGATTTGTCAT